TCCTTCTCTCTCTAAGCGGCTAAATTTAAAATGGAACGATGAAGTGTTTTCAAGTTTTGAATTTGCACTTCTTTCCACCATTTTTATTTTTTGTTGTTTACTCGCGTAAAATATCGGTGAGAATTTTACACGATTGGAGGGAACACAAACATTTCCTCTTAGTTTTGGAACGCTCTCGAATCATGAATCGGAACTAATCAGAAATGCTGGAAGCGGTTTCGGAACGGCTATGAAAAGTAAAATTTTCCTCAGAGAGTATGTTTTGGAGTCTATATTAATATTCGGTCCATTAATAGAGCAATTATATCATGCTCAATTGTAAATGGCTATTCTAGCTTCACAAGTAACATCGCTGTATTAGCGGTCTAGTATAATATATAGAAGTCTGTGAACTGATCAATTCACGGAACAATGAAAAAAATTCTTTAAAAAGTAAATTTTATTTAAAAAAAGAACAAAACAATTAATCGACTTTGATTTTTTATTATTATATAATTATTATATTATGTAATATATAATTATATATATATGTATATATATTATATGTATATATATATATGTATATATATTATATGTATATATATATATATATATATATATATGTAATTATTATAATATAATTTACTTTTATGTAGATTTTTCTTTTTTAATAAATTCATTTACAATCTCATAATATGCAAAATATACATTCTTTGAAAAAATATGTTAATTACAAATTACATATTTTTTTCTTAAAAGTAACTATGTGTTTTTCTTACACTATTATTATATTTATATTATTATATTTCTTACACTAATTGATTCCTTTCATTATTTTATACATAAAAGTATTGAGGTAAAATCATCGAAAAATAAATATTTTACGAGATACGACGATGTTATAGTTTATGTAAAATTAAAAAAATTATTTCAAGTCTCATAACTCAAAAAGTACTTAATAAAAAATTATTTTATTATGTTTTAAAAACTTTCGAGATAACTATAAGAATATCTAAAAATGGAGGATTTTATTTAAATATTTCAAAATAATCTTTATGTAACCTTGATAATGCTATTCAAAATCATAATGATATTATTACTACGTAATGTACCATTTAAAACCCTACAACTTTTGTACGGAAAATTTTTCATGAAAATGCGTATTTTTCAAAATATTTTGGTTTCCACATTTTTAGGATAAACTTTATATATATTATATAATCTGCAGGGAGGAATCATAGTAAATATCAGTGAGACCAGAAAAACACTCTTATAGTAATATTATATAAGTACAAAACTGAATATTAGAGATAATATCCAGATAGCAAACACACATCATTTTTTGACGTTTCAAATTGGTCATTCACTGACTATTCTTGACGTCATGAGTTGATGTTTTTATGATGTAAAAGTGACGATCTAATGTCACAGATTCTTGACGTCATAACATGTACCGCATTTTGACATCATGTACCATATTTTAACGTCTTTTTCTTAGCATAATAATATATTTAATAGCATTGGAATAAAGCAGATTAACGGATTCGAGAGCATCATTGAACAATTACAGCTATTATATTCTTCAGAAGAATCGCGGATCGATTAAACTTCTTTATTTGAAAACGCTAGAAAACATCCATACAATACAGAATATTACAGCAATATTATGGCAATATTGCAATGTTATTGTAATGTTACAACAATATTAATAATATTGTTGCAATATTCTATGCTGTATGGGGATAAATATGGTAAGAAAATAGGTCACAAGTTTTATATTTGTTATTATTATTTTATTTAAACATAAATAAACTTACTTCTAATATCATTTAAAATTTCAAGAAATAATGTCTTCCGTTGTCTGTGTTTTATAAAAATATATTTTGCCAATCAACTGTATATAAAAAAATGTGTATATTTCTTGGCACTTTGATTACACTCGATTGATATAGCTAATATTTTCACTGTGCATTAATTTAATAAACATTTGAATGGTTAAGCAACATAAGTCGTGCACAGATAAACGCATATGTTGAAAGAAAAATTGTTAAAATCTGATGGCGAAAGTCATGTTATGTGAAAAAATTTTAAAAGATGTTTTTATGGAATTGATTTCATGATTGAAATATGACGTCAAAATAATGTTATATCAAGACTGCTTTATTCCAATGCTATTAAATATATTATTATGCTAAGAAAAAGACATCAAAATGCGGTACATGTTATGACGTCAAGAATCTGTGACATTAGATCGTCACTTTTACATCATAAAAACATCAACTCATGACATCAAGAATAGTCAGTCAATAAAGTCAAGTAATAAATTAGTCATTTTGACGATATATGACCAAAAATAACCAGTTTGGAATATCAAAATGACGTGTGCTTGCTACCTAAGTATTATATAAGGAAATAAACCCTCTCTCTCTCTCTGTGCATATATATATATATATATATATATATATATATATATATATATAGTTAATTGTAATTTCTCTCATTCATAAAAATATTATATATAATTATATAACATATTTAATATATATCGATGTTATGTATATTGTAAGTACAATATTAATAGTTATAAGTTATATTGTAATTATATTATTAATAATTAGATCATACACAAACAAATAATATAAAATAAATTTAATTCATAAAACTTGAGAGAAATTTAATTTATATAAAAATTAAATTCCGATTTTCACCTTAAATAAATATGGAAATAATTTTTCATTATCCGTCCACTTCCAAACAATCTGTTTAATAGTTTTAATCGCTTGTTTAGGCTTATATGAGAAATTAATATATGAGAAATTATTAAACTGAGGAAAAAATATTATAGATACTATAGAACTTATATTAATAGTCTATACTTTATGGATCTTTTTCATAAGAAAAACTTGAAGACGAATTTCGTCTGGTTTCATCGAATAATGGTAAGTAAAGGAATATGCAGTTAACAATATTATATTGTAATAGTATATTATACATTATACATTATATATTATATATTATATTATAACATTGTTATGCAAATTAATGCTTATTGTTATATAAGCAAGCAAATTAATATATATAGCATATTACAGTTTTATACAAATAAATAACTTACATTATATTTGTTACTACCATGTTGCTTATTACAAGAAATAGTGTTTATAATAATGAATTAAAAATATTCATATGATTGAATATTATTTTAACGACATATTATTTTAACGACAATATTATTTTAACGATATTATTTTAATAAAATTACACAAATATGCATATTAAGGAATAAGAGAAAGAGAGAGAGAGTGTGTGTAAATAATTTTTTTCTATATATTGTTAATATTGATGATTAATATTGATACATAATTTTATATACTTTCTAAATTTTTTTTCAAAATTTTCTGATTGCATTAATCGCGAGAGCTTACCATTTCAAATATCCGGTTAACATCATAACTTGAGGTTGATACATTCGCTTGTCTTCGTCAATAAATCAAAATCAGGCGTTCTCGAGATGCCGGAGGCAATAAATAATTTTCTTTAATAATTCAATGTCAACAAATAATTATGGCAAATCGACAAGCACTAGAGCTCATATAGCTTTCGCGAAATTGCTAGTATAAATATCGCGAACTTCTTGTATTGATCATATTTGATTAAAAACAAATCTTAAATATTTTCTAAATTTACGTTAAAAACTTGTTTTTATTCTAATTTTATCTCAAACTTTAAAACTTTTTACACCAATATGCTCGATCCTAGATTGACGTGGAATATTTCTAAAATTGTATAATATTCTCTTTTAAAAGGCCTAAAACGGTATTTCATATCACGCAACTATGTTGTATTGAGAACAATATTTTTACAAAATATTCGCAAACGTTGCAAACATTTCTGAGAGTATCCCGAGACATTTACGAAGGAACGACATCGCACATCATCGATGTTCCGTTTAGAGTTCGTCGAATTTAATCTATATTATTAATGGATCTCTTTTTTTCGGTGTCCTACAATATTCAAACGCTGCTTATTAAAACTTTCAACTCGATTCACGACTGTGATCAACGACAGCGTAATGTTGACTGCACAACTACGGGCGGTTATATTGCTAGATAGAACAAGCATGTAATATGGTGAAAGATTATGGCTCCACTACGTGTACTATATAGACGAACTAAGGTCTCTCAGAATACTATACTTAACAGCAGAGCATACACAGCTATAGCATGTGTATATATGCCGTGTGCAGTTGGTATGAAGGCAGGTGGCGGTAGACAGGTGAATGTGTTGGCGGAACATAGGAAGTGTTGAGAAATGTCAAAGATAGAGAAGCGATATGAAAAGCTAATATGAAATGTTGTAATGGCTCTCAATAATATTATAGAATGTAAAAGAATGAAAATTATTGTCAAATATTTAAGAACGGAATTATGAAAAATCACATGTGACGTAAAATGTATACCACATAAAAAAAAACAAAAAAAAGAAATCTTCCAAAAAAAGTGATTGTTACGGTATATACTGCTCATAGCTTGTATTAAAGTGTAACTTGTATAATTAAAATATATTGTAGAAAAGAATTAAATATTGTAGCGGTATCTACATATAATCCATTTTATTAAGGATTTGAAAAAATTAATCTGATTTTAATTCGATTAAATTTAATTAAATTTAATTCCCTGAAAATAAAAATCTCTTCGTTTCTGCCTTAAAAGTCATCGCTGCTTTGACATTTCAGTTAAACAAAATCGGCTTTATTGTTAAAAAATTTCCATTATATATTATAAATGGTAAATGTATCGATTAGAACCTAGCTTCAATAACTTTGACATTGACATATGTTCTGAAATTCATGACTTGGAATAACCTTCCAAAGATTTTAGTCGTCGCTTGTTATTTATTAAAAAAATTAAATAAACGAAAGAAGTTTCATAAGTCTATTAATATGTTTATCGAAAGAAAATTCTATTGTTACATAATTTCGAATGGATTTGTAACTTTCTATATGCAAAGCGAGGTATATCCTACACCATGAATATGGATTGGTTATATTTTCCAGAAATGAAGCCCCCTCTTCCTATAAGACGAACAAGGCGGAACACATTGGGTGCTTTCCAATTGTTTAACACATCTTAACACAAATGTGCACAGGAAAGCACAAAGTGTAGCGATATGCACGATTCAATTGGAACAAAATTGTATTCTAGTATCTGTACTGTGTTCATGCCTTATTTTTTAATCTACGGTAGAGAATAATAGAAACTGTTTTTAACATTGAATAAAGAATACCAGGAAGGAGCATATGACCGAAAATCCTTTGTTTGCCGTGCGGAGGATGTGACGTAATGAAAGTGAACCAAATATCGATAGAATCGAATTTATGACGTCATTGTAGTTGAATTCAATAAGCGTCACATGTGTAACTGTGAAACTTGAATAGACTGAGAATTAAATAAAAAAAATAAAAAATGGTCAGTTGTTGCCTTTGTGGATATATTCTAAAACAAAAGGACGCATAGAAACATTTCATACGTAAGTGGTATAATATATTCTATTTAAAATAATAGAGTCAAAATAGAAGTATTACAACTTGTAGGTTAATTTTATTGTATTTTATATCTAACAATAGTCATATTTAGTAAAGTATTTATTTTGCAACTAGTGGAAGTTTTTGAAATTGAAGCTGGATTATTCTTTTAGATTTAGAGCAATAATTTAATTTTACACAGATAATTTTGAACAGTAAACATTCTTGCAGATGTGGGCAATGTAATACATTATATTATTGTGATGTAATGTCATATTGCATGCAAAATATATATATATAATTTTATGTAAATTATTAATGAATCATAATTATTTTTTAATATAGTTTTCCACAACATCCATTACAAAGACAAAAATGGATTAATTTTATAAGTAGGTCAAACTGGCAGCCATTAAAAAACAGCAGATTATGTTCTAAGCATTTTACATCTGACTGTTTTGATAGAACAGGAAAAATTACTCGATTAAAGAGTATGGCTGTCCCTACCATTAAATCCGCAAATACACAACGTGTATGTATAACCATATATATATTATATTTTAATCCTAATTAGTAGTAAAATAAATGAGACACCTCCGATTAGACACAGTACAATTGGACACAACTGGCTTTGATTGGCTAATCGTGCTTGATCGTCCTGGTTACCCTAGGCATCGGTCGATATGATTGGCTGTGTCTAATCGGGCAATCCTCAAATAAATAATATTCATTGTTATTATATAATAATAATTCATTAATGGATATGGGTTATTTTTTAGGTACTATTAGAGCAAATGTCATCAAATCACAATAATCAAAAAGTAGCACAAGAAGCACATTCAGAGCTTTTTATTAAAACTTTTACACCACAAGTAAGTTGATATGTCTAATAATATTCAATTTTAATGCTATTTATTTTTAATTTAAATTTATCTTAAATTAAGAATTGCATTTAGAAGTAAATAATAACTTTTAATGGCTTTAATTAATGACACTTAATTTGTTAAGAAATTAGTAAGCATATTGAATTGTTAATACTTTTCTGTATAATATTGGAGTAAATTATTGTTACATTTATATTGTTATATTAATTATTGTTATTTATATTGTTATATATATAAAATTATATATAAAATATCTAAAAACATAAATTACTAAAAATAACTAACAAATATTAATATTATTTAGGAAGTGAGCACTATTAATATGGACGATAATGAAGGGCCATCAACTTCTACTCAAATTACCTGCACTGCAAGAAGATAACTTAATAAGTACACCTTTACAAGTGAAAGAAAGGAATGAATTTTCTTATTATCCAACACAAGATGATACTCCAAGAAAAAGTTATCTTAAAAGAAAAATTATGGAAATGAGTACAAAAGAAAAATTATACATGAAACGTATAATACAATTACAAAAAGTGACATATCGACAGAAACATCGAATTAAAAATTTGACATCGGTTTTAGAAAAATTACAGAATAACGGTATGATTTCTCATAATGCTAAAGAAGTATTGCAAAATTATTTTGGTAGTAATAGTAATTTATTTCTTAGTTTATTTAAAAAAGCTTGTTACAAGAAAAAAAAATGCAAAGCAAAATATGAAGAGGATATTCGAAAATTTGCTATATCTCTTCATTATTTTTCACCAAGGGCGTACAAATATGTTACAAATATTTTAAATGGTGCATTACCTCATCATAAAACTTTGTCTAAATGGTATAAAACTATTAATGGTGAACCGGGATTTACATCTGAATCTTTTGAAATATTAAAAAAAAGAAATGAATATATCGAAAAGAATATTTATTAGAATATTGTTCTCTTGTATTTGACGAAATGAGTTTACGGCAATACGTAAAATGGATTAATGATAAAGTGTATGGTCTAATTACTATTAGAAATAATGTTTATGACGAAAATATTGCCAAACAAGCTCTTGTTTTCATGCTCGTGACTATTAATGAATCATGGAAACTTCCATTAAGGTACTTTTTTATTGAAAGCTTAAATAGCAATAAAAAAGCCAATTTAGTCAATCATTGTTTACAATTACTGGAGAATTGCAAAGGTACTGTCATAAATATCACTTTTGACTGTTGCCCGACAAATTTAACCATGTCAAAAGTTCTTGGCTGTAAATTTGAATTTGAAAAAAAGTTAAATCAAAGTGCAAAAGAACCAGTGCTTGTTTTACAAACCAAAATAAGTTATGAGAATCCTGTCTTCATATTTTCTGATCCTTCACATATTATGAAATTGATTCGTAATGTTTTAGCAGAAAAAGGTATTTTGTATGATGATAACAATGAAGAAATTAATTTTAAATATCTAAAAAAATTAAATGAATTGCAAGACAATGAAGGGTTACATTTATGTAATAAAATTAATAAACGTCATATAGAGTTCTTTAAACAAAAAATGAAAGTCAAACTAGCTACACAATTATTAAGTAAGTCTGTAGCTGAAGCTTTAATGTTTTGTTCTGAACATTTAAAATTAGAGGATTTTAAAGATTGTGATCCTACAGTCAAATTTATTCTTATGATGAATGATGCATTTGATGTATTAAATTCTAGAAAGATATCAGATTTTGGTTTCAAACAAGCACTGTGTAAGAAAAATATTGAAAAAGTAGAATAATTTTTCGAAAAGTTACTCGGTTATATAACAAAATTGAAAAATTATGATGGAAGTTTAATTTTAAATTCTAATCGAAAAACTGGATTTTTATGTTTGTTGATTTCTATGAAAAATTTACTTAGTATTTATAAAGAATGTGTTGATAAAGATAATCTATCACTTATACCAGTATATAAAATGTCACAAGACCATCTGGAATTATTTTTTGGATCTATAAGATCTTGCGGAGGATACAACAATAACCCAACTTGTCGACAGTTTATATCAGCGTATAAAAAAATTTTAATTCACGCGGAAATTCGTGAACATGGCGCCAATTGCTGCATACCTTTGCAAAACATAAATATACTTAGATATAGTTCTAATGTAAGCAAAAAAAAATGTACGGATAATAACAACAACGCGGATCTTAACAACAAAAGCGTTTTAAGTACAAATTCGCAAAATGTATGTTCAAATAATGTAATGTATGATCATGATTACGTATTTAACTTTAATTTATCACAGTATTCTAAGGAAGTAGTCATTTATATCAGTGGTTTTGTGGCAAAAAAAAATATTTTCTATAATTCTATGCACAGATTGTTCATCAGCAGTTATTGGAAGTAGAGATAATTTAGAAAATACCTTTTTGGCATTTAAAGATGTAGAAGGTTTAATGTATCCCAGTGATGATCTCATTCAAATTTGTATGGAGTGTGAAATAATATTACGTAGTTTTTTATCTAATGAATTATTTACAACATCGTTGAAAGAGAAATTAGAACAAGATATTATAAACAAATTTTTAAATAAGCAAATCTTTTTAGAGTTGTCGATAAATCATGATCAAATTACTTTACAAGATCATATAATTTATCTAATTACAAACATTGTTACAGAATTTTATAAATTGAGGATGCATCATATTTGTAAAAGTGCAATACATACGAAAAACCAAAGTTACGTTCGAACATTTTATAATAAACTCATTTTGTTTAAAGGACAATAAATAGTTATATACATAAGATTTGTAATTAATTATTTTTTTTTTCAGATTCTTCCCAAATTAAACAATGTGCAACTTAATAGGACAAAATATTGACAGAAATATCAGGTATCAATTTTATCAAGGAAAAGGCATTTGATAGTGGTTTCTTCTACTTCAATGTTTAACAAAAATATAAACAATTGTTTATTATTTAAAAAAGAATTTAGATTTTTTTTTAATAATGTGTATATTTAATTTTTTTAAATGTGTAACTATTGATAAAGCAAATTATATTCACTCAAGTACATTTATATTCAATCATACATTTTTTATAATCTGTACAAATCATACTTTATATATAAATATATTTTACATATTAAATACTTTTACATACTTTCAATACTTTTTTAAATATGTATTATATGTATTATTTGTTTCTCTTTTAAAAAAACATATATACAAAAAATTATTATTTGTGCTGCAAAATCTAGATTATATGTGTATTAAATACTACATTATATCTACATTATATGTGTATTAAAATCTACATTATATGTGATGTATATAAATATGTGTATATACATTCATATTTTAATATTAATAATTCATACTAACAATTAATCTTAATATTAACAATTAAAAATTAAATAATATCAATACTATAAAAAATGAAATATATCTAGTAAATATTTACTTTCATTTTATTAACAATAATTATTTTTTATTAACAATAATTTATTTTATCAATAACAATTAACAATAATTTGACATTAATATTTTATAATTTTTTTACTTAATCATCTAATTATGTTATATAATACATGCGTTAAATTACTTTCATATTTTTTGTTTGATGCATTTTTAGTGTGTTTGAAATATACCGCCAGATATGTGATGACGTCATTTATGATGTTTCATGACGTCATAAAACTAACCCAATATTCCCGCAATATATCGCAACATGCTCCTTCCTGGTATTCTTTATTCAATGATTTTTAAAAAACAACAACACATACATGCTACGTCAATATGTAGAAATGGAAGACAAAAAATAAATATTTCTTATTCATTAAATATATATAATTCTATTTGGTCCATATTCTGAGTCTTCTTTTATCGAATAAAAGTATTACTAAAAGTGATTTGTTGCCAATCAGAGAGTTTAAGCCACTTTTAGAAGCACTTTTATCGATAAGAGAAAACTCGGAACATGAGCTTTTAACAAAAATTCATTATACAAGATAATTTGAATTACTTATTATCTTTAATGATACTTTTAATATTAATAATTAGAAATTTGGCTTAAATAAATAAATTATTTATTTATTTAGAATATTTATAATAAATAATTTATAATAAATAAATAATTTATTTATTTAGATAGTTTTAATATTTTCGCAATCCATGTTACATATTTTTGTTAAATAAAAGAAAATATTAAAAATAAATCTACTACTTGTTGGAATTCCGTAAAGCGCGCATATATGCATATTTACAGTTGTGTCACGTATGCTATATGCGCCTATATGCACTTTACGGAAATCGGTCAATGTCTGTAATTTGTAACTATTATTTGTCACTAGAAAACACAAGCTTACACATCCGACTAGTAGCCCTCGAGTTGAGTACGGATGTGTAAAGTTGTGTCGGCAGTTACGGCAATTGGAACGCGACTTGTGTCGCCAGAGAGAAACCTGAGAGCGGCCACCAGCCTCGACGGGCACATTTCTCGATGCTTGACGCGCCGTCTGACAAAGTGGACGTGAACTATGTCCATTACGCTCGATAACGAAACATGGTTTGTGTCTATGATATGGGTTCATGTCCGAACTATTCAGAGATGGACAGTCGGATAAGAACCGATAATTCATCGTTCTATCTTTGTTTCATCAATGACAGACCACGCGACTGCCACGCGACGAGCTTACGATTTTGCTTTCCCCTTTCTCTCGTCGCGCTTTTACGTTCTTCGTTATGATGTAATAACGAAATGATTTTCACATAATCCTAATTTTCTAAGGGTGTTGACAAACAAGTTTTCCAACTTTGTATGTTCTGTAACAAAAATACAACACATTATGAAAATTATGATTACATGCATATTTCAAGCTGACATATAGCAATTGGTACACCGAATGTTTGGTAAAAAAAAATTTTTTGTCAGGCGTGTTGGTTATAATCAATTCGATAAAGTGTTCATAATAGCGCGTAGCAGTGTAAGGCTGATGGCAGAAAACTAGATGTCTGTCGTAGTCGTGGACGTAAAGTAAGACAGAGAAAAACGTAAGTCGTACAAGGCCATTGTCACAATGGCCTTGTACGACTTACGTTTTTCTCTGTCTTACTTTACGTCCACGACTACGACAGACATCTAGTTTTCTGCCATCAGCCTTACACTGCTACGCGCTATTATGAACACTTTATCGAATTGATTATAACCAACACGCCTGACAAAAAATTTTTTTTTACCAAACATTCGGTATACGACTTACGTTTTTCTCTGTCTTACTTTACGTCCACGACTACGACAGACATCTAGTTCTCTGCCATCAGCTTAAGTAAGATGACTGCTGCACGCCAGGAAACATGACTACTGCGAAGAGAGAAGTGGCCGCCAAGGATGCATCACCAGAGAGAATAACGAAGAGTGAGAGAGAAGATGAGGGGGACACATACGTGTCCTCCCGGGAAGACCCAGTCACTCCTAGGCAGGCCGCCACAAGACGCGGAAGACTTGCTGCTCCTGAATGGCAAGCAGCTTTAACTGAAGGAACGGAAAGCCCGTGTATGAGAGAAGCGGTAAAGATACAGCGGTCAATTAAGAAGGCTATCGCAATCTCACTGAGTGACGCGAGCCCGGAAATTGGCTCAAAAAGCAACCAAAGCAGCTCCAGGCCTAAAAGTTCCGGGCCAAAAAGGAAGAAAGGAATATCCAGCTCTGAGCTGGAAACGACTGGAGAATCGGCGGGACAACGAGTGTCCAGACCCCGTGGAGCTAAATTAAAATCGAAGTATGCCCGTCCGTCCAGAAAAAAGCCCAGGCCAGCTTCCCCTTCCAGGAGAGATTCGGCGAACGATGACGAATGGTCAACGGACGGAGAACAGCCCGAGGAGGAAGAGCAGCGGGTCGATGAGCAGCCGGTGGCGATAGTCTCGTCGCTGGCAAGGCCAGAGGAAGAGGATACTGCCCCCCCTCCCTCCATTGAAAAGGGGGGAAGAATGAGAGGTAGAAAGCCCTTCCTAAATAAAGAGAAAGTAGCTAAAAGGATAATTATGGAATTGGAGGAAGTTCCTCAGGATATGGACGAATTAAGAAACAGATCGACTCCGAACCTAGGCGCTATGGCTCAAAGGTGGATTGACGAGCTCGATTTCATTAGAAAGAAGTGTAAGACCATGCAAGGTCCGTTAATGAAGCGTATGTCGGAGAGGACGTCTGCGCTCACCATGTTGGTGCAGCTACTCTCCGAAAGAATTCAAGATAACGGAGATATCGCCTATTTGAAAAAACAGAACATCGAGAAAACGTCGAGGATAGATCTATACGAAAAGGAAATAAACAAACTAAAAAACGAGGTAAGCGCGCTGACAGAGCTTGTCGCAGACCTGCAGACCAAAGCCTTGAGAGCCATGGAGGACAAGGAGCGAACGGAGGCAAGTCGTATTCAGCTTTTAAAGACCAAAATAGACAGAGTGACCCCGATGCTGCCAATCATGGGGTCCCCATCAGATAGTACTAATATAAGAAGTGGAGATACTTACCTGCAGGATGGCGAATCCCTGATGGCCGGTACACCGTCGGAGGATGCCCAGGATCGATTGAAGAGGAGTCGTCCGCTGGAGTTCGAAGAAGATAGTAAACCTGGAAAAAGAAAAGAAGGATTAGGAAAAAGTAAAATAGTACTAAAGAATACTTACCCAAAAGAAGAAGAGTTTCCGCCAATGGGTCCGCCGTCGTGTGACGTTCGTCCTGGAAGATCCGAGAGGGATGGTCCGTTGATGTCTCATGTTGATTCTGAAAAAGAAAAAGAGGAATTAGTAAGAAGAATAACGGAGGAGGTAATTAGGCAAATGCAACCTGTTGGAGACAGAAGGTTGCTGTCTCAAACGGTGAAGTTGGAAGACCAGGTGAGTTCTCCCCTCCCTCGGAATAACCCGAGGGTCAGGGTGAAGAGCGATATACAATTGGTCCCACCTCGTGAAAATGCTCCTACCCCCCGGCCCCCGCAGACTCCCGGTGCCCTTGAGAGCATCGGTATGTCTGGCGGGGATGCCGGGGATACAAACAGCGACTGGAGCGCTGCCAAAGGAAGAGTGAGGAGGTGGCGGGGGGGGCGGGGGAGGAGGAATCCCCCCCCTCCGCGGCCATATGTTGATTCTCCAGTTGAGGCTGATGCTCCTGGAGCTAGTGGATACGGGCCTCTGCCAAGGGATCCAAGGAAAACTCGATCTGCTGTAAACAGTAGGAATAATGATGTAAATAGTGTAGATAGGAATGATATCACAAATAAGCAAGGAGAGACTGACAAGAGGAGTATACGCTGGAAAGCCCCCCGAAGTGCGGCAGTGGCTATTAAGGGCATTACGGAAGGATTCTCATATGCCGACGCTATGCGTAAGGCGAAAGATAACATCTCGCTTCAAGATATGGGAATCAAAAACACGAGGATTAGGAGGTCATTGGGCGGTGCGCTTCTCATCGAGGTTTTGGGTCCTAATGGTGACGAACTAGCTGAAAAATTAAAGAGTGAACTTACCAAAGTTCTAGGTGAAACGGCATCTGTGACCCGTCCGGTTCGGCAAGGTGAACTAAGGATAGTTGGAGTCGATGAGTCCGCGACGTTTGATGAGATGGCTGCTGCGGTAGCAAGTGCTGGTGGCTGTAAAGAGAACGAGGTAACGATTAGCCCTATGAGACCTATGTATAATGGTCTCTACATGACTTGGGCCAAGCTTCCTCTGGCTGCTGCTACTAGAGTGGCTAATCGGAGGAGGATTAAAATAGGTTGGGTCAATGCCAGAATAGAGTTCCTCGACGCGAAGCCGATGCAGTGTTGGAGATGTTGGGAGTTTGGACACGTACAGGCGAATTGTAGATCTAATATAGATCGACGCGGATTGTGTTTTCGCTGTGGCCAGACGGGG